GGGGGGGGGGAGGGGTTTTCGGGTACGCAACATACTCAGAATAGATAAGTGAGTAGCGCTAATTTTGATATATGCATTGAAATTTAAACATTTAGTGGCGAAAGTGGCTAAACAAGGTGCGGGGGGGTGGGGGAGGAATCTGCTTCTGGTAAATATATTTAAAATTAGCATTACCTGTAATGTTGACCCAGAATAAGCAAGTATCATTGATGTTGCCTGACGAGTCCGTAGCATTATACATCACTAGTGTCTCGCCAATGGGAAAGCCTGTACCATTTTGAAAATTACTTTCTATCGTGACCATGAGACCGGAATTGTCAGTAGCATCGACAGCACCCCATGTGATTGTGGCGGTGGCTGATCCCACGTCAGTATTATCCATAATATCGCCTGGGCATTCCGTGAAAACTGGAGCTTCAATATCTGATATTTGTCGTAGGAAATACAGGAGTTACATTAATTGACTGACTTCAATGTCGTGATATGAACATATATTATTACATAATTACTGTCATACATTTCATCACTATGTATTTAAAATTTTCTCTTCCGAGATGCTATAATAAAATGTAGGTCTATGTGTACGTATGTTTGCGTGTAAATGCTTTTAGAAAATAAAGAAGAAATAATTATACTGTATACGGTAAAATAGTATTGTGAGGTTTCTATTCGTTGTTTCTACAATGCGGTCTGTATTTCTTAGTTTACCTAAAACAATTTAATGTTTAATATAAAGTTGAAATTATTTGAACTTATGTGTGACATGTTTCAGAAAATCTAATGAGCTACTAGCGTACATCGATGTCTACTATTATTTAATAAAGTGCATTGTTAAGTTATTATTAAGATGCAAGTACAGAAGCTTAGTTATGTGTGTTACGTACCTGTAACAATGATAGGAAATTCACACTGCCCTAGGTTACCAGCATCATCTGTCGCATTGTAGGTTATTATGGTTGTACCGATTGGATATTCTAAAGAACTGTCTGTGGAATCGTGTGATGAAACAACATTCGGTGTCATCATAGAGTTGTCGGTGAATCCAGGAGCAGTCCAAATAATGTTTGAAGCAAAGCTTTCACCGGCGTCCGTGGTTATTGTAATATTTTCTAAGCATTCGTCGGTCATCGGAGGCTCAGTATCTGAAAATAAAATGTCAGACTGTCATTAGCATTGCGGCGTTGTTTTAAATCCATAACTTTTCCTATTCCTACTTATACTGAACGCATTGTTTGTGTCTAATTGTAACCCTTGATATCAAGTCTACAAATTTCGTTAAAAAATTATCTCTAATTATAGCATTACCACAAGACCGTTTCGAATTTTTCTCTATAATATCGAGATTTATTTATGAAAAAAAGTATCTCTTCGGAGATCCTATCTTGTCGTCAAATCGGATAAAAAGAAAGCGTATCATATTAATCTTTGTTATTTTCCATGCATCAAGGACAGTGCAGTCCAACTACGGATGCACAAGAATGATGCGTAATTAGACAACACTATTCATTGATGCTAAGTCGTGTTAGACGGCATATTCACAATGCTCACATACTGTTTATTATTTGGATAGTTGCGGTTGACGAAACGGTTATTAATTCATAATACTAATGGATAATAGAAACTGATTGCAATTGATTTAAATGGTTTTTATAAGGTGTAATTTGACAAACCTGAAACAGTAACCACAAATGAACAGTTTTCATTTATGTTGCCGTACATATCAATCGCAGTGTACATAACTGTGGTATTACCCAACTGGAATACACTTCCGTTCATTATGTCTGATTCAAGCATTACATCCATGAGGGAGTTGTCTGTAACAGATGGTTCGTCCCATGTAACTGTTGCATTGTTTGCACCAGGATCGTTTCCAACTGCTATGTCAGGTGGACAATATGTAAATACAGGTGCCTCTTCATCTAATTGCAATAAAATATGTATGAATAGAGCTTGCAGATCTAATGATGAACATATCATATTGTCTAAATTCAATTCAATTAAAATTTTATTTCGGAATTATTTATCCATAGAATGCAACACAGTAAACAAAAAATTACATGGAAAAAATAAAGAAATGAGTTACAAAAACTATGCATTCAGGGCTAGGGATTCACTTCCCTAAGGTTCAAATTACCTGCATACCCCACCCTAGCCGAACTATACATTAGCGGGATAGGGTCATTAATCCACTAAGGTCCTAATGACCTGCATAACCCACCCTAACTGAACTATGCATTACTGGGGTGGAGACGTTACTCCATTAAGTTCCTAATGTGGCGCATACCCCAAGGATGTTCAATCAATCTGAACCATTAGTCATATAAGAGCTCTCTCCATCTGCCATACGAATCTAAGCTATTTTTCAATTCAAAAGCACAGTGTGCTGCGCTTTTGTACGACGGTGACAACAAAACTGAGCAAACCGGGTTTCGGAAAACTGGATTTCAACAAACTGGTCGGATACTATATAATTGCGATCTACCTTTTAAGTATTATTTTTAGGTATGTAAACATGGTTTTACTGTTTTCTTCTTAGTAAGAACTTCTAACTTATATGATAATAGTAATAATCCTAACTGTAATAATGATGGTGATAATTTTAATTCCACCTTTCTGTTTCTCTAAATCCCTGTAACATTGTCTTTGTCTGTCTTATTCATTTCTACTTTGTTCTTTTTCTCGGTTTCTTCATTTTAACTGTAATGAATTTGGTTATGTTTGGTAGGATCAAATATTTATGATAAATATAATTTTCTTAATGATCTTAAGTTAAGAGATGACATTGAAAAACAAAAATATTATGAAAAAATGAGATCACAACATAAGTTGAATTATTATTGTTTATACAAGCATAAGCATCCCGTTAGACCATCATCATTTGAGCATTCATGTGGGCGCTAAACTGTGGAATCTCTAGATCCTCGGTTCAATTCCCATCGCTGCTTCTCCTTGTGTTTCAGATAGAGGGCTGAAATACAAGTTACAATAGCGCGCCGTCTTTCGGATGAGACATTTAAGCCGTTGGTCACGTGTGCATTATGGCCCATGTGCAGTACACTCTTCTGAAAAGAGTAGGGGATTGTCTCCCGGTGTACTGCGCAATCACCACCAGAAGGACCCCACTGGAAATAAGTCTTCTTCTAGACTTTCTTGGGCTATTCTTGGTGTTTACACTGAATAAATCCAATCCAATCCAATTCAAAGAAAGACAGATCTGTTTGCAGCACTAATTATTATTTTTTATATTTGTATAAGGGCCAGAGCTGAGGCCTATACTTGAATAAAGTCTCCGTCTAGGAGAAAGTAAAGCATTAGAGGCGTCTAGTATACTATATAGGATTAAGCTACCAAGCTGAATTGGTATTGTCATCAATATCGTTATCAACATTAATATTATTATTATTATTATTATTATTAGGGCCTAATTATATTATTAATATTCATATTACTATTATTAATAAACCTACAGGCTTATTTTCTTCCAGTAGCAAACCAATTAAAGAATAAGTATTTTATTTTATTCCTTTTATTTATTTCATCACTTGATATAAAATATAATAAAAAAAATACTGATACAACAAATAATAATATACAAAAAAAAAAACCAAAACCACAAAGCAAGATAATTAAAAATGTTTTCAGGAGGTGTACCGCATTGCAAATTACCCCAAATAATCACTTTCATATGGCTCTCTAACCCCCATCCAATAGAATGAAATACAAATAATTATTTTTATATTCAATTTTGTATAATAAACATACATATTTTAATACATATATAACCATACAATCCTATAGGAATGTTATTCCTGAGGGAAGATGATGCAATTAGGAAATATAAATCGCCGGAAAGAGTAACACAGAAAACTAGAAAGAGCAAAGAGAACGGCAGTGAAAAACCTTACTTACCCGAGACATTGATGTCAAAGCTACACTCAGCAGTGTTATTGTTGGAATCAGTTGCATTGTACGTCACTTCGGATTGGCCAATTGGGAATAAACTGGGAGGACTTTCACTTCCGTACACAGCAAGTACACCGTCGTTGTTGTCAATAGCTACAGCATCATTCCATGTAACATTTGCCATGTCTGACATCGGGTCCGTTGTGACGTTTATATTTGAAGGACAAGTAATATTTGGCATTTGATTATCTGTATGTGTAAAAGTAAAATGTAAATGTGAAATTAATAATATGTAGTTTAATAATACTTCATACATGTTGAATAATGCATGATAAGCATGTGTAATGTCATGGTCTCACTGAAAGATTTATTTAATGTTCCTATTCATTACGGTGTAGTTATCTTACAAATCTTGTATTGCAATCATTAGGAAGAGAAATAGATACTTCACAGTTTTATTTCAATTTAAGATGTATGCTAAATATAATTGAAAATAATATACATACTAAGTTACAGAAATATATTGATAATTAAATTGCAAATATACTTTGACGAATTCAATAAAATCAAGCAGAGCTTCTTATAATTATATAAAATCTACATTGCCGATAACACTTAACACAGAAAAAAACCTTTATTCAATGAATCGTGAATAATATTACACATTTGTACGTTTCATAATAATTTTGGGTGTCAACCCAGTAGGCTGGGTTATGGCGCTTGGCACCCATATGGTATAGAAAAATGCGCCATGCAAGCTTTTAAAAGATGTTAATTTACCTTCAACGGTGATACTGAAGGTACAGTATGTGGGTTGGTTCACTTCATCTAAAGCCAAGTAACGAATTGTGGTTGTACCAATGTAGTAAATATCTCCATCAGGGTTGTAATTTGTTAATGCTTGCTCTACTGACAGTAACTGAATATTGTCGATAGCCACCGGTACAGTAAAATTTACAATGGAATAGTTCTTGTTTTCGAGAGTGTCCACAATCGTGTCACTTGGACAGGATGTAAAAACAGGCGCCTCAGTATCTGTAGGTAAAGAAACAATGCTACGATATATATATTTACAAATTATAATCAAACTAAAAACGCCAAACTATCACTGATGTTGTTCGTATACTTTTGAAAAATTAATTATCCTAATAACTGTCTCTTATAACTTTGTATTTTTTTTCATCATCTGTTTCTAATTATAAGTATGTACATTTTTATTGTAATCAATATGGTTTCTCTGAGTCATTTTGGAGGGTGCATAATGTATATAAAAACAATCAACAAAAACTGCACTTGCAATGAATTGTTTAAGATTGCAGATTGAACCAGTACTAACATTGACATTTTACAATTAACAATGAATAGGGTAGGTGCACCTGGAATTAACTTGATAATTTGTTTAGCTGCGGCAACCATAATAGTTTGTTTTGGTTGGGGGCTGATAGGCGGGCCAATTTAGGTCGAATCACATCGTAAAGACAATTAGATAAACATTTTAATGTATGAGAGTGTAATTTTCGTCTTTTCTAAAAATGTGCCGACATTCTCAATATTGATCATGAGTGGTTGGGTGGGGTTGGGGAGTGGTTAGTGGACCAAGGACGGCTTAGAACCAAATAATAATTAAAAGATGGATGTTGTCATGCTCCATGATAATTAATGTACGTGGTCATGCTCCATGTGTGTGTTGGTGTTTGCTACCATACATCAGAACTCAAAACTGAATACAGTTGTTATTATACAGGCAATACCACATACCTTGGACTACTGTGATATTAATCTCACAGTAACCCTCGTTGAAATACGCATCGGTAGCGTTGTACACTACAATTGTTTCACCAATATTAAACAATTCTCCTGGATTATGGGTTTTTGTAACACTTGGAGTGTCACCAGAGTTGTCCACAAACGATGGTTCATCCCAATTCACAGAAACATCAATAGCACTTCCTGGTATGATCTCAAGATCCACGGTTGGACAGTTTGAAGTTGTTGGAGCCTCTTCATCTGTTATAAATCAATTTATATTCTAGGCCTATTAATGATTTATTTAATTAAACTGGTAGTTGGACTCATGATTCCAGATTCAATATCAATTTATTGCAAAACAATGGATGTCCTGAAATAAACAATTCATATAAAATGCGAAGACAAATTTATAGAAACATCAATGTAAAGTCAATGAAATTCTACATTCTTACATAAGAACAGTTTTAAAAAGCATTGAAATGTTCCACCAGCACCATCAAAACAATAAATCTTGGCCTCCCCTAAAATTATTATCCTCATCATTATCATTATTTGTATCATGATTTTATTATTATTATTACTACAATTATTATCATCACATTACCATAGGCCTAACATATATTCATTAGAATTCTTATGTACATTTTTATGATAAAATTTAAACTAAGAAAAGGTCACATGAGAAGGAACAAAACAATAAAATCCCTACGTTAACCTGTTATTATTGCATACGGGACTAATATTCGAAAACTAAGAAAGAAACGGAAAGGCAAGATAATGAAACATCTGGAAGGACTAAAAACGAAACGATAAGGATAGAAACAAAAAAGAAAGAAAAATGAAAGTTGGGAAAAACGAACACGCCATGAACTGGTAAGGTACAGTAAAGAAACTCTAATGCTGTGTGGGTAATCATTATTAATAATCATCGAATTAATTGTCAAAGAAAAATAGATACAGGAACGAGAATCTAGCGTTTATGCATCACAGAATTGTAATGATTTTTTTTTCAAGCGAGTCAGGCCCTCTCGCGGCAGTGTGTGAACTTCCTATGTTCATAATAAAAATTACAGTTAATAAAGGTAGGGGTGGGCTGCTTGAGATGCTATTTTCGACTTGCGGAGGACGGCCTTTTATAAACATTATATTTACTTATCTTATACGTAATTTTTATACGAGTATATATAGAGTATATACCATTATTTTATTTTTTAAATTTTTTTTTGCACCCTTCATTTTGCAGTGTTACCGTATATGAAGACGTTAAAGTTAAATTTGATATAGCGCAAAATGCTGGACGCCTCAAAGCCTAAATATATTATATATGATTATATATAATTATATTATATATATTAAGATTATTATATATATTATGATTATATTATATATATTATGATTATATATGATTATATAATCATATATATTTAGGTAAAATAATATATTCTTATGTATGTATGTTTGCATCAGTGTTGCCTGTTATGTCCTATAACCTAACAACAAAACATTACATGATCTGATGTTGATTGAGCCCCCATCGGACAGGTCAAGCCCCCACCATCACTGGCCGAATTCGTCGGGCAGTCGGACAAAGAAAAAAATTAAAACAGGCCTACACCAAGCTAAAACAACAAAACAAGACTTTCACAGATCGTATAGTGGAATTTCCGGCCATCCAAAGGTCCCTATTAAAAAATATCTCAATGGGAGGGGGGTCACCCCTCCCAAACCCTCCCCCTCTGCAGGCATACAAGCTCAAGCCCCC